TTTAGTTCTCTCAATAAATCTACAAATTTGATTAATTGTTTAAAATGATAAATAGAAATATAATCTTCATATATGACACACTTTTGACATTAAAAAAAAATTAAAAGTTTATTAGGAAATTTTCTAAATGACGTTAAAAATTTTATTAGATTATTTAAAAAATTAATTGATCGAGAGGAAAAAGTAACAATAAGAAAAAAATTTCCAAAAACAATCGAATTTCTTTTATACATAAAAAATTTTCAGATGTTAAAATATTAAGATAAAAAATTAGTTAGCCTCAATTTTGTGTTGCTATAGTAGAAATGTTTTTTTTGGGGATAGGATGAATGTTTCCTTGATGCATGGATTAAAAATTCAAATTATTGGAGCTCATAATTTATATATCAAGCATTATTTTAGTTTGAGTGGTTATTTTACATATAAAGGACTTATTTGATGATAACTATATTCATTATAATTAAATCATGTAATTAATCGAATATTTTTTTTATTGTTCAATATCCAATCGATTTAATGAATTTGTTTAATTTAAGTATAATATTATTTCATGGAAGATTCTGCGATTGAAAATAAAAGAGAAAAAAATTAATGGAGCCAAACACAAGTTGAGCCACAATATAATATTTTATCACTTAAATGGGGTTGAGATTTTTATTTAATCACCAAATTTTGATATATTTGAATTTAATCGTCCAAAATTTATATATCTAAAATATTCAGTATTGTCAAATAAACTAATCAACATCTTTTTGATTGAGTATTAAATTTTTTCAATATTGTGTTAAGTTTTACTTTGATTTATCACAACTACTTTTAGGAAATAAACAATATACATGATTTAATATACTCCGTGTCATGTTATATAAGTTTAAAATAGATTTGTATAAAAAATATATCAATCACAAAGGAAAAAAGGAAATTATATTGAGAAAATTGTCGCGAAAAAATAATAAACATTAATAAAATAATTGATTTTTTTAAAGAAAAAAGGACGAGTTATACGTATTTTTTAATACACACATTTGATGTACGTTTAACTATTTTCGATATTCATTTATATCGTTCGATGTATCTATTATATAGTTCTCGAAATGAATTTTGAGAGAATATAGAAGATTTATGATAGATTTTTATAAAAAATAAAAAAAAAATAAAAATAAAAATAAAAAAACCTAAATAAATTACCTAGTAAAAAAAAAAAAATTTGACACAAAAAAAATCAATCATCGAATGAAAAAAAGAAAAATTTAACATTGAGCATCATCTTAAAAAAATAAATAAATGCTTGACGGAGCAACTCCGTGCATCACACGGAGCAAATTCTCCTGGCATGCTCCATGGTGTGCGGAGTTGCACTATTGAGTTTTTTTTTTTTTTTTTTTTGTCAATTTTTTTTTCACTAGGTGATTTATTTAATTTTTTTTAATATAAAAATCTACCATAAGTCTTCTATATTCTCTCAAAACTAATTTTGAAAATAATATCATAAACACATCGAACGATCTAAATGAATATCGAAAATAGTTGAACGTACATCAAACGTGTGTATTAAAAAATGCGTATAACTCGTCTTTTTTTAAAAAAAAAAATCAATTATTTTATTAATATTTATTATTTTTTCGCAACAATAATTTTTGACGTCATTTAGAAAATTTCCTAATAAACTTAAAAAAAATTTTAATATCAAAACACACATCATTTAAAAAATTAAGAATTTCGATAACAAGTTAACTTTATAAATTCATCGACGATTGTACGGTAGTTGAATACATAAGTCTTCTATATTCTGTCGGAACTTATTTCGAGAACTATATCATAGACACATTGAATGATCTAAATGAATATCGAAAATAGTTAAATGTAAATCAAACGTGTGTTAAAAAATGTGTATTCTTTAAAAAAAATCAATTATATATTAATGTTTATTATTTTTTCGCCACAATTTTTATAAAAAAAAATATTATGTGGTATGACGTCAACTAATTTTTTTTTTTTGACGTAAAAATTCAAATTAGGCAAAACAGCAGCACCACACACGTGTAGAAAGATCATTAGTAGTGATTTCAGAAGTGAAGTGGGATATTATGGAATATTCAAAGGTAAAATAGGAAAACACAAAATACGTCTTAAATGAATAGCGCTTGCTACATTCCCTCTTTTATTGTAGTAGGTGGGTGTGTGTGTGTGTATCCTTTTTTGTTGTAAATCTTCATAAATGAATAGTAAATGGGGAATTTTTTCTTTTAATATAGTAGGGAGATAGCAGGGATTTGTTGTTTGGAAATGAACAGTCAAATTAAGGGTAAGATGGGAAAAGAAAATGCTTCCTAAATGAATAGTGTAGGCATGATTCCCTCTTTTAAGAGAGTCGAGAAAAAAAAAGTAACTTTTGAGAACGCCTTTTTCGACTATTTGACTATATATTTGCTCTACCTTCTCTTGTACGTGTTACGAAGCAAGACTCTCCATCCTTTTATATATATATATATATATATATATATATATATTCTGCTGAGACATGAAACCAAATTAATCTCTACAATTGTTTCTGTTCAGGTTGCTGCTGGGACGTTGGATGGGATCATCGATACTGTATCTGCTAGTCATCCCCTTTTAGCCTTGATTAGTTTGTTGAAGCCTCATGGAAAGATGGTACTGGTTGGATTTAATTTTTTTTTTTTTTTTTTTTTTTTTTTTGGGGACTTTTGAGCCCACCTTTTGGGGCTATTTGGCTACATGTTTGCCCTATCTTCTCTTGTACGTGTCACGGAGCAAGTGTTTAAAATACGTATACCTTCTTTCAGTCACTTGGGACCCACTGGTGAGAGAGGTCAGTCAAAAATTTCGCTGAAAACTCTCCTACACAGAGACCAAAAACGGAAAAGATGACGGAAATATCCATATTGCCCTTCTTCTCTTTTCCACAATTGGCCTCTTTATTGAACAGTCCATTTAAGGGTAAGATGGGAAAGGAAAATACGTCTCGAATGAACAGTACTCGGAGGATTCACTCTTTTAAGGTAGTAGTGATAAAAAAACTTTAATTGATTCAAACTCCTTAATCATCATTATTGTCAAAGTTTTTCATCTCTCTCTATGTATATGACTTATTTCTACCATTCATGGAAGAGATATATTTTGAAGAAAAGCTTTGAACTTAAATTGTATCTAGGGATGACAGTGGGGCAGGTTCGGGGCAGGGCGGTAGGCGCCCTGCGACGTCCCACCCTCGCCCCGCCCCATTTGTCGCCCCGTTTAATTTTTTTTAATTTTAAATTATATTATTATTAGAGAATAAAATTTAAATTCAAAATTTTAAAATTCAAAGTAAACACTTGAAATAAACAATGTTAAAAATTAAACAATTTCAAATAAAATTACGTTTTCACTAAATTTTATTTCTTTTGTAATTAATTAAAATTTTACATTTGTATTTTATTATCTAAAAATAATATAACTTGAAATTTTAAAAATGTAAAAAAAAAAAAATTCACGAGGCAGGGCACCTCCATCCCACGCCCCGCGACGGGGAGCCCCATCATGCCCCGCCAACCCATCGGGGTGGGTTTTTTTGCCCCATTCGAGGCTGGGCCCTGCTGGGACAGGGCGGGACAGGTTTTTTTGCCATCATTAATTGTATCGTTTATTTTGCTTCTCTGTATAAAAACTTTGATTTATTGAATAAAACTTGTAAAATCATAATATTTGTCAAAGTTCAACATCTCTTTTTTGGTACTTAATTTATTATCATTATTCATTATTAAAGAGATATATTTTGAGAAAATTTTTGAACTAACATTGCCTTTATTTCTTCTTTAATATAACACTTGAGTTACCATTTATTTTTTGAAGTGTTAGTTTCTCTTAGTACTTAATTCATTTGTATCATTTATTAAGAGATAATTTCATTTTAAAATCATTTCTCTAAGCATGTGGGTCGTTTTGAGTTCCTGTAAAAACTCAATAGTCTAAGGATTGATGCTCCTTATTGTAAGTCACCGTGTGAGTCATATTAAAATCTCATAAAGCTCAATATTGTTTAAGGATTGGTGTTCCTTGTTTGTAAGTCACCGGAAGTGTTGTAAAGTAATGTGATACAAGCAACGAATACAAATCTGAGCAAAGACCCACTGATCGTTGAAGAAGGTCCCATGACTCGATCGTGAGCGAAGAGAGTTAAAAAAGTGATGTGATTAATTGTGCAAGTTACAATGGACGAAACGTTGATTGTTACAAGTAAAGGGACAAATTTAAAGTTGTGCTTGGAAGGAGAAACAAAGGAAGCAACTTAATTCAGGAGACAAAAGGAGATCCTGTCAGGATCAACTATGCAGCGACCCCAAACACTACTTTGAACACTTCTATCAATGGCTTATATATCATTTAAACAAATTTGTACATACAGTCACATTGTATAGGTTTCTGCATTTTTTTTAATTTGTTGGTCATAGTAAATAAATGATGCCTAGGATGGCATATGTATGATCGATATAATAATAATAATAATAATAATAATAATAATAATAATAATAATAATAATAATAATAATAAATGATGAGTTCGGAGAAGTTTCTCTCTCTCTCTCTTTCTTTTCATTTAATGGTAATGATCTAGGATTTTTAACACATTGACTAAGATCATCTTCATCTGCTATTCTAAAATAAATGATAAGGATTTCAAGTAAATATATTAAACTTTCTCAATCGTCCTTAATATGTATCATTCTTACATGTGTAAATATATATATATTACGTTGTACATAAAATTGCAATTTCTTTATACAGTATAATTAATGTAAAATCAAGAACACAATTATGTTGATGCAATTGAATGAAATGTAGGATTATATCCAATAACGTTGGCAAGTGATATTTTAAAAGATATACTGTCCCTGTTTATATAAAAAGATAAATGAATGTATCTCTATGTCATGAAAGGAGTGAGTCAGAATTATACTTTCTTATTTGTTCAATTTCAAAGTATTGAGGACTCCAAAGGGCATAGAAAATGTAATTGTGTAACTAAAAAACAAAGGAAATACTACAAATTTAAGAATATCAAAATTCTAATGAACATAAATCAGAGGAATATAATATTTCTCCTTCTTTCCTTTTATTTATTGTTCATTAAAATTTTTGTAGAAAAACTTAATTTTTAGGAGAGAAAATTGGAAATAAATTAATATTTGTAGGGGAAGGCCAGAAATTTGATCAGCAAAATCCAATCAATCTTTCTCAGGCTAACCAGTCCCCATACATTCCGTCAATTTCCTCGATGTCCATGCTGCATGTTTTAAACCAAAGTAACGATGTCAATAACAGATAATTTAAACAATAATAAAAAGAAATTAAAACGACAAGAGCGCGTCAAAAATTTAGAATTATTAACTATACGAAAATATCTAAGTTACAAAGTATATACACGTGGAGTGATTGTTTTCTTCAGTGGGTTTTTCTTAGTGATTTTAATAGTTAACTTTAATTTAGATTTTTATCAATTTTTTTAGCTAAATCAAACAGGGGCTAAAGTAGCAAAGAAAAAATTATTTGACAAAATAATTGTTTATATTTTATTTTGTTAATTAGCAAGTGGCAGGCATACCAAAAAATGCTGTATGATTTCATAATGATATTTATATGTTCTGTCATGTTAAAACTTTTCCATTACCCCCAAAAAAAAAAAAAAAAAAAAAAAAAACCAAGATTTTGTAAAATTAAGAATATGAATTAAAAATTAAAAATAAATGAAGTACTATTCATTCTAATGAAAGAAGAAACAAAAAATATTATAGAATAACATATATAATTCTGTTAATTCTTACCATGGTAAAGCAGAATCTTGCAGGTGTTCATCAGAATAATAATCATTCAGATTTTGCAGGCAGCTTTCATTTGCATTCAACCAGGCTGGAAACTCCATGACCACATCAAATGGAGAGGCCCCATATTCTTCTGATTTTTCCTCTGGACCAATTTCCATGGCATTCAAGAACTTGAAGCACCAGGCTGAATTGACTAAATTCAGTGAATCATTGAACTCCATTTGATGCTGTTCTCCAATTGATCTTATCTCCGCCATTTCATTATCATTCATTGCTGGACGCAAACCTAAGTCTGCAACATCAGTAGCCACCACAGAAGAAGGACCCTCCTGTGATGTTGCAGCCATGGAAGGAATTACTTCCGGGGTCAAAAGTGTCAGCGAAGAAGAAGAAGAAGATGGAAATGAGTATGAATAGATCGATGAGTTGTTGGTGCTGTGATAAGCAATGATGTCCAAGTTTTTGAAATCGTGAAAATTAAGATTCAGGCCTAATGTTTGGTTTGGGAGTGGAAAATTCATATTTTCTTGGACAAGTACTGGTGGTATAATTGGAGACAAACCCCAAGTGTAGGGATTATAGGGAGGGCAAAACTCTGATGAATCGGAGAAATTGATATCAAAGCTGGAAAAATCCGTAACTAATGCCGCGTTTTTCTGTAATGATTCTTGTTTTAAAGAAAGTTGGGAATTTTGCTTTTGCTGCTTCTCGCTGTCTTGCTTCGTAGCAGCCCTATGAAACTTAAGAGCAGTGACAATTTCTCTCCTGGCCTCAGCCATATTTAGAAGCCTTTCTTGATAAGGCCTGCCAATGGGGATTCTCCTCCTAACTTGTTTTTTATGCTATTGAGGAGAATATTGTACTCTTTCACTAAATTCATGATCTGCCATTTTTGTCCTTGAAATCCCTTCTCCCTCTAAAATTTCTTGCAATTTAGGGTGTGCAGAATCTTTGGTTAATCTTGAAGAGGTCAATTGTTTGACAAGGCTACGAATATAAGCACCTGAGAGATGGGGTTCTTGATTTATTTCATCAACTTTTTCTATTACTATTCCACCATTTTTGGCAATTCCTTTCTTTGAAGAAAATCTTCCTCTCATTTCTTGTAACTATTTTTCGGTATAGAATTTGGCAGTTTTTTCTTTTTCTTCTATAAAGTTATATGGAAATGGAGAGGTGGAATGTCGAGAGAGCGTCGGTTTGAAAAATTATGGTTTTCAACTTTCTGGGACAAAGTACAAAATGCAGAGGATGGAGGTCCTAAAGGGTTCGTGGGTGTGATAAATAGTTGTCGACAATATAGGGTTTATTAATTATTTTGGAATATTCCTTTTCCTTGTTTGGTAAATTACTAGATTGTGTTATTGCAAGTTAATTGGTCATTTTCCTATGTTACTACTTAGTCACTGAACTTCAAAATTTTTCTCCATAATCACTCAACTTCCCAATGGGATACTCATCCATTGTTCAGATAGATTTTGTTTATGTTTGGGGAAAATTAAAATTTTAATTTTAATTTAAGTCAAAATAACAACTAAGTTCAACCACATAATTCATTAAATCCACAACTTTCAATCACACAATTTATTATTTTTTTTTAAATTCAACTAAAAGCTGATTTTAATCCCCACCAAACAAGAGATTATTAAAATAGCTTTGATACAACCAACAAAAATCCTATGTGGCATGTCAACGTCGTGAACGTTGTCCAACTAAAATCAGTCGTGTTCTCAAATGGTCACTGAATTATAATATATTTCTTCATCATCACTAAACTTTTCAAAAGTATTTTTTGGTGGAATAATTAATATGCATTTTTTTTTTACCGAGTCAATTGCATACCTATGCAAATATTCTACCCAGCCCGGTTAGGGGCTCGAGTCACCGATTTTTCGGCCCGACCGGTCTTTCCTGGCCGGGTTTTATAACTATGACTGTATGCTCTTAGCTATACCCCTTTCTTGTAATATTCATCTACAAATTCATTTGTCTATTCTCATTGATAGTATACTAGAAATGACATGTTCACAGGGAATTCCACTTAGTTGCCATTTCTTATATGCACATTATTTCCTCATCAAATCTTAACTCCACCTCAAACCATTAGTGTTCTGAACTTTAAATTTTTCATTACCTACATAATTTATCCTTATGAACCTGGCATCTGATTTAGCTTTCTCAATTATCCTTACAATTTTTGGACCATATGCATGATCACACTTTTGAACTACCTTCCTCTTTCCATTCATCCGTATCATTTGATGCTTAATCTTATCCAATATTGTGACAATAGGCTTCTCTCTAGCTGCTACAATGGAGGCATTGAAGGCTTCATAGAGGTTATTCAACAAGAAATCACACTTAGCATGTTCCTGAAAGTGAGATCTTGTCCATTGAACTGTTGGCTTCTTATTAAACCATTTGAAGGTTTTTTCATCCACTATCTTTATCTCATTCATAACTGCATTACATTCAGGTACAGTAGTAGTTCACAGCACTAATTCAAGGCTTTAACCAATCCTTTTTTCCTGCCAGAAATGAAAGTCCAAGCGCTACTTCATACATTCTTATGTCAAATACCAAAAGTTCTATAAACCAAGTTCAATTGGCTCTGTTTTCTACATCTACAATTGCCCAAGCAACTGGGAATATACAATACACCCATCTAGTCTTATCATAGGTCGACAATCAGCCTTCAAACCTTCTTTATAAGCCCCCCAAACGTATCACACAAAACCTATGCCCTCAACCCGCATTGTAGTTTTGAGGCTAGTTTTCTTCAACTTCTCACCATAGTCATATAGAATCTTGCACTGCTCATCGGCAAGTCCATTCACAATTGATGTATATTTTACCCTTGTTCTATAAAATTGATATTTTGATAGTTCATACATGCAATATTCCTTTACAATTTTCGTGAACCTGAACTTATGCAAGTATTTCTTGGGCAAGAACCCTGATGAACCTTACTATTTTGCCAGACCAATGTGCAGCCATGTTCATCTCTGAAAGTGTTGATTTTTAAGTTTTTGTCTATCTATCTGTAGGCAAGCAATTGTCAGGGATAGTTTTCTTAACATCTTACTCTTATCCTATTCAGCTTGTTCTTTACATATCTGAGTTTTTTCACATAGAGTATTGCACAATAGCTTATCTCAGAGTTTTGTATTCTCAAACTTTATACTTATAAAGCACATAAGAACCTTTTAAACATATTAGTATGAAATGCATAACAAAACCCTAAATCTTATATAAATAAGCGATAGATGCCCCCAAACATTATGAACAGACTAAAGTAGAATCCCAAACCATTTAAATAGTTGCAGTCAAATATAAGATAATGATGTAAGTTCAGTTACCAATCTTGAATTTAGAGTCTTCCATGTTAGTTGCAGGGTTGAACCAAAGCTCATTTTCGTTGTTAGTTGTGGAACCCTTTTCATCACTTGACATGCTTCTTTGGTAATCTGAATCCTTGTAGTTTGTACCATTGTTTTCGCATTTTCATTCTGCTCATAAGATTGGTCATTGTCAGCATTTTCCACTCCTAAATTAAATCCTTCACTCAATTTGAAATATGCGTCTTCATCTTGGTTATCAATTTCCACATCTTTTTGTTCATATTCATAATTTGAAAAATGTTCTAAACCAATCTCATTATCCTCTTCCACTTCTGACTAGCCACCATAAGACTTAGTGCCAATATTCCAAGCATCATTTTCCACGACTATATGATCTAGTCAATCATATTCTACTTAATCCCTCTTTTTCTTTCATGGCAACATATCTTTCCGGCTAAGGAATGGGAAATTCTTCTATACTAGAAGGTTCAATAAGCGCATCAGACGGCCCAACATTTTCAACAATTTCTACTCCTGTACCAGAGTCAAATATAGATGTTTTATCAAAGGATGTACCTTGCTTATCAGTTGTGGCTTGCTCAAACTATGTGTTTCTAAGATCTTCCACTTCTATTACAACTTCAAATGTGGATGATTCAGCATCATATATTGCACCACGCTTTCCAAATGTTGGATGCTCGAACAATGGATCTTGAGCGTCATTGTACTCTCAAATGTTGATGGTTCAGCAAAACCAGCCCCTTCATTCTCAACCGTTAGATGTTCAAACTATGTATCTTGAGCATCTTCTATTATAGCTGCATTTTGAAAAGAACATGGAAGATCAAAGGTTGACTTCTCACATGGTCGCTCAACAAGCGTATCATTTGCACTTACCTATACTTCGATTACACCCACATGCTTAAATACACTAACTCCATTATTATCCACACCATCATATTCACGCAAACGACCTCCTTCAATTTCATCAACAACATAAAGATCATCACTCTCTACCATGTCATCAAAAATCTAAAAGCTAATGTAGGTTTTTGTTTGACCTCCATATTTTCAATGCTAATACTAACACTCTCCAAAATCTTACCAGTTTCCATATCAATCACTACAATTCCTATTGGTATATCCGTCCCACGGAAGTTCTAATACTTTTATTGACTTTGACGAACAATACACATTTGCACTCTTGTGAGACCAAGACATTTCACAACATTCATGTAGTCTACATTAGTAACTAACCAAAATGACTCTTTACTTGATCTTTTCTTTTTAAGCCTATATACATATCTCATTGGCTCACCATAAACCAGTATCTTCATTATATTGTCTACCAGATATCAATTGAAGAAATCTGGGTCCATATAATCAAGATAGCTGATCTTACTGTGTTCATATACGTAATTTGCACCTTACCAAAAAAATTCCCATCGTGGTTCAACCGGATTCTGAAATAAGTGGAGTTCTCTCCTAAAAAGAAGAAAAAATTACCCAAGTCCAATCAGAACAAATATGGTTATCATAATAGACGTCACTACATCCTCATTACAATATTTTGTCCATATAGACGACTTCATGCAATTTTTTAAAACCCTACCTATGCATTCACTACAAATAGTGAAATCACAAAATCAATTAACTATAATAGGTTATAGTACTTCTTCATGACGATCTCGCTATTCAAGTATATGAGTTTCTCACAAAGACTACATTTTATACAATTTTGCTCTTAAACTATAAAAAACAACATGACACTTGCAAAAGCTTACCATAGAGGGGGTTAGTGATCCTCTCATATAGCACACACATCCAACATCTCCATCGTCAAGTTCTCTGGCTTCAAGCGAGTTTATTGTCGAGAATTTTTTTGACAATTTTTTTCTCTTCTTCGTAAGGGTCACCCTTGAAGTTTGCAAAAATTTTGATGTTAGGGTGTTTAAGTGTATGAAAGAATTTACCCTCCCCTATTTTGGTAAAAAGTGTCAACTTCTTTGGGTGGCCAACTGACGGATGTTTGGATGAAAACCATTCAAAAGGACCTCCTCTGCAACGGTTGAAAATGTTAGAGGTGGTGATTGCAACATATCAAAGGTATGAAAAAAATCTGTTAGTGTTTAAAGTTTGGGACTTTTGCTACAATTATCCCTTATTGTTACTGTTGTTGTTGTTGTTATAACATATTTAAAGATTTCCACCAACCAATTAGCAACTAGCAAGTTACATTGACAGTTCTAAAGTTAATATTCGTTTCAAAATTGTAATAATAATTCTGAAATTTCTTCTACGTTTGATTATTTTCTAAAATCACATAATTTGATGAAATATCTCTAGGAACTACATTTTTGTTTGACTATGAAAAAACTCACTTCTAATTGGCAAGTTGGAAAATATAAAAACATTGTATCATTGGGATGCTTTATTGAGTTTTGTAAAAGTGTCTAGAGAGTGAACCAAACTTACATCCTGAATCAGATTTTCATAATAATAATAATAATAATAATAATAATAATAAATAATAATAATGATGATGATGATGATGATGATGATGATGATGATGACGGCGACGACGACGACGATGATGATGATGAAATAATAATAATAATAATAATAATAATAATAATAATAATAATAATAATTGGGAACAAAATATATATGCTATTATGTATATATCAAAAACTTTCTATACAACCCCCCAAAGAATTTAAAAATCTTTACAAATATTCATGTATATAGATACATCAGACGAGTAAATGAATTAGATGTAAAGTAGTAAAATAATGTGATGCATTCAGAGATGAAGTGAAAGAGAGATACAGGCCAACTGTTGCACTGGGGATAACATCCAGGACCGCATTAGCTTTGTTTTCTGATGAGGAAACCTGATTCCACCAATCCCCTTCAACCCTAGCTGCCTGTCCATATCTCTCATTTCTAATTTAGACGAATGCCATTATTACTCATTATTCTATATTTACTCTCTCCTCGATTTCCTGTTTGGATTCAGTTCATATGTGCCCCACTTGTTGCGAAAATTGTCTCTATCCTTTCATCCTTTTACTAGCTGATATCAACTAGCAGTGTTGGGGGAGCCAAGTAGAACGTAAGAATTCAATCCACTGATTTTTCTGTCACTGGTGACTTTGCATGCAGGCCTGCTTATTCATGGTGTAAATTATGCATATCTTCGATAAAAAAAAAGTATTATTTTAAACGAGATAGTTCACCATACTATAAACTAACAAAACTTTGGGTTAATTACCTCAAACTTTTGCTTAAAGTTTCCTCTTGGTCACTGAATTTAAAAATTACACTGGTGAGTTTGCAATTACATCCATCACCAACTGAACGATTGTTAGAAAAATTGACTAAATTGCTGACATGACTAACGTAGTACCTTACGTGACAC